TTATTATTTCAATGACAATTAAGTGGCTGAGTAAAAAAAAAATAACTCAAATTATACTTAATACATATGATAAATGATAATATAGAGATAATACTTTTAAAATTACAAAACAATAGAACCTTCTTGAATATGATTAATTTTTATCGGAAAATCTAGGATATCAATGACCATTGAATAGTATAAAGATACAAATAATTAAAGTAATAACGTACAATTATTTGTGTATACTTATAAAATTTATAAATTAATATATTATTATTAGATTATTAATTATTATATAATATGTATTAAAAATTAAATATCTGCATTCAGCATAATCTTATAATATTGATGTATGATTTTAAATTAAGCAGATTATGTTTCAATAAATAAACTTTTATGTTTAAAATTTATATGAATGGTTTATACATTATACTCATTACTCATAATATAGTCATATAAGTTTAATATTATATAGATATTTTGTAAAACATAATATTATGGTATACAATTTTTGTTTAGTGAAAGTTTTCTTTTAATGAAATGAAAACTATTATTTTTACACTGTAAAATTAATACAAATTTATCACGTCGATATTTCTTAATAGAATGAAGTTTACAATTATTTTATTATCATGTTATAAAAATAAATATATTTGATTTGAAAATTTTTATTTATTAAGTTTGATGACTTCTAATTATTAATTTAAAACTAAATAACTATTACATTTAACTCATGTTTTGCTTGAACAAGCTGTAAAGCTATACATATTCTATACCGATAACTACTCTATTAGCTAATACTATTAATAACTGTTAATATTTTTATTCAGTTTTAGAATTTGCGTAACGTTTTTTATGGTGCTTTATTTCACATAAGCAATTAAAAACTAAATAAATTATATCGATTTAAACCCATCCAGTTACTATTAACAAACTATATTAATTTCATAATATAATATTTTTCTTGATTAAGAATAAAAAAAGAATACTTCACACTTTTAAAAATTACTAAAGCTAAATTATCATTTTAAATCATATGACGTATTCAGTTCATATTTTTTTATTTCATTAAAACACTTAATGTTAATTATTACACAAACAAAATATTAAATTATGTTTTTATCATTATTTATTACACATTAAAAAATCTTAACATTTTGTATCTGTTTAAAAAAACATTTATATAATAAATTATTTTTACTTAAATAATAATTGTTTACTCTACAATATATTAAACGTTTTTTTTTTTTAGAATGTATTTAGTATTTTTTTTTACTTAGTGTCATAATTTTCGTTTAAAATTTTCTCATAACCACAAACTATTTACTAATAGTTTATAGTTATTTTATCAGTATCAACTAAAAGAATATAAATAGTATTTTATACCTTGAAGGTTATATATATTTTATTATTAACTTCTACAATTTTTTTTTTATATTTTATCTCGAAGGTTTAATTATGTTATATCCAACTTAAAATCTTTTTTCTTTAAAATGTTATGAAATTATATTAAAATCTTTTCATATGGTTACATTTACCTACATTAGTTAATTACGTGATACAGAATTTCTGTCTCTCGTCTCCTATAAATAATGTAAAATAATAATGTCTCCATGTCTGACGAACAATATCGATTCCTACAACAAGAGCAAAAGAAGTCTCTGTGGTACATGTTCATCTATCCGATTAACTTAATAAGTATTTTCAACTGCTAGCTGTGCATTCTTCTATTATTATTAAACTGATAAGTAATCGTCATTGGCTATGGACTCGTAGTTACACATATATTTATATACATAAATATATTATTGTTTCGTCGTTTTATTACCTAATATTTTAAAACAAATAAAAATATTAAACGGATTTTTATACATATTTTAATAATATGTATTATCTGATTTTAGCAATTTATTTTTATAAAAAAAATGTTAAGAAATAAATGCAATACTGATAAATGAACGTCATTTATGTTGACGTGTAAAATTTTGAATAATTTATATTACAGTTGTTGATATAAAAACCGTTATTACAATTTATATTCGTATTAAAAGTAACATGTTAAAAAAAATTCATAATGCATGAAATGTATAATATGTTATATTTCTCATATGTTTTGTGTTTACCTACACATACATTCAACTTTTATTCTAATTAATTTAATGAAATTTCAACAAATCCATTTCATTGAGTTTTCTGTATCAAATCAAGTAAACAAATTTCACATCATTATATTATTTGTATCTTTCTAATACCTATTATATATGTTGCTGCAGTGGATATTTTAACTAATAAACTGGGCGACAAAAATGTCGCTTTGAGAAAACTTTTTGTACCTAGTAGACTATATATTTAATTACTGGACTACAACGGTTTTTTTTGTAAAAATGACGATGTTTAAAATGATTATATAGTTATTCCTTACGTTTAATTTTGTAATTTATTTATATTTATATTTTTCGTTCAATTATTTGAATTTGGAAGTACAAATAATTATTGAAATTTTCTCCGATGAAAAACCCGTGTGACAATCGGCTTAGGTACTCATAGAATAATACAGTATGCAAGAAGCAATTTATTCTATGCAGCAATGCGACATGTTTCATCTGGACATCAGTCATTTCAACAAATATCTACAAATTGTTTTCGATTTTATTTTAGTTCTGGTTCCTACAAACTAATTATTATATTTATTTTAATGTGTTGTTTTTATACTTATATAATAATAATTATGTATACTGTATGTTGTTGATTCCTTTTTTTAACAAAAAAGAATAAGTTTAACTTATAAATTATTGTTACTTGTTAATATATTGTGAGTTTTAATTTTATTGTTAGATATACGTAGGTAAGATTTTATATGTTTATTTCTGAAAAGTATTTTTTAGGCATATATGTTGATTTTGATTATAACATGTAAAGTGAATTTTTTTTTTTAATGTTACCAAGTAATAATATCTAAAATTATTTACTGTGCTGTTGTATTTAACGTATTCAATGAAATATTATAGATCTACTATTTACATTTTGCAAGAACAATAGGTTATAATATTATATCTAACTATTCCGCTGTTACTATAAACCATAAACGCATAATATTAAATAACAATCGTAGTTTACTGACATTATAGTAAACGGCCTGAGTGGGTTTTACTCGATTTTCTCTTCTAATAATATAATATTACCTACTGACTACTGCAACATTCTTTGTAAGTGATCAAACATACTGCACATTCGATATTCATATATGGTATATTTCATGGGAAAAATCCTATCCCATATAAATCTTCATGTAGAATTTATCAAGATGACGAATTATTCGACGAAATAATAAAAAACCCTCTTCATATAATAGGTACGTATTTTGCGAACACTTCATACGTCGTCGTGCACGAGCAACGCTAGCTGTCTTCGTACAGGTTCATATTTCCGTGTGTGAAATACCTTTGTAAAATCCTCCAACGCACGATCTCACGTAGCATACTCTTTAGTCACTACAATATTAATTTCTATCTGTTCGAAAATCGTTGTTGTAGTAATAGTAGGTATGCGATTTACCGCGTTCAACTTGAAACGATACAAGAACAATAATAGTAATAATAATTATTATTTGTTCCTCGAGTGCCTTTATTGTTTTGGAAATACAATCAAACTCGGACAGCTTTCTGGATTGATATATATATATATAAATATAATATATGCGTTCACCGATATGTAAACAATAATACATTAATACATAAATTGTGTATTGAGCGAAAGACAGATGGATAGAGATATAAGACGTGCGTTTAATAGCAGACACGATAAGAGTGTGTGAAAGAGAAGAACTATTGGTAGAACGAATGGGGAAAATACCGCATACGAGTTATGAAGTCTTCTGATATCATACGGGTATTAGTTCGACGACGGGGGCAAATCCGATTTAATTGCGTAGTGTATACGCGTACCATACGTCTGCGTGTATCAAACAATTGCAAACATCTACTGAACCGGAAAAACAATAACGGAAACGACTTTGGCAGCAGAAAATATTGTTTTGAAAAGGAATCGTTTTCTTTTCTTATATATTTTCCGTTAAAGTTTTTCACTAGAATTACTCATTTTATGTGGTTATTATTATTTATATAAACAACAAAGTTAGTTTATTGCAATTTTCCACATCACGTTCGAAATAAATTTGAAGGCTGGATTTAAAGAATATTTTTTTCAAGTGGTCATCATTTAAGTTTTGTTTTCTTATATAATTTAAAAAATTCGATTTTAGAACAAAGAAAAAAAAAATGCAAAATCTAAAACAGATAAAACTATACCTCTATATCTATTTTATGTAATACCTAATTTTCGATGTGTCATGTTTAAATAGTGTAAATAACGAAATCAATGGTTATATGGTATTGAATCACAGAATATGTCAAGTAAAATAATAAAATATGACAAATTTCCAATTTCTTTAACAACAAAAAGATCCAATTAACAGTAGCGTAGTTCGTCTTTGTAAGGCACCTGAATTTTAGTATAACATCAATTACAATGTTACATACTAAATCGACAAAAGAGCATGATTTAACTAAAAATTAAGAAATTTAAAAATATTGAATTACATTAGACATAGAATTAAAAATATTTAAAAACTGAAAATATATTCTTGATCTTGATAAATTAAAACCGTGCCACGTGGACATGGTTCACTTAAAAGTTGTTGGGTCTAACAATAGACGCCTACTTCGCTTGTATGAATAATCCAAATAATCCAACACTAATAAATACACACCTTAAAAAAATTATAGTTATCATATTTTAATTTTAAATGTTTTCATATGACGTGGTATATTAAAGTTTAAAATTCAAAAATGACCATATTATATTTATTTTTTTCTTAGGTAGAGGTAATTTTTAAAATGTATAATATTTTTATGTAAAGTGCATATTTTATTAAAATTTATTGCAATAAACTTGTATCTAATATATAAATATTTAAGTTTTACTTCTTTTAAATAATTTACATAATATGACAATTTCAGGTTCAATGACATTCCAAGTATATGGTGGCAAATAAGTACGATTCTTATAGGAGGTGCGACTGCAATCACAATGATTGTGGCGGTATCTGCTGTATCTGCATGTTGCGTGACACATGTTATACAAAAGTCGACAGCCAAAGTCGCCGGATACTTGCAGCTGTTAGCTGGTAAGTATATTTTATTTTCGTTTTTTTTTTTTACTCCTTTTTCGCAGGACATTATTGATTCTATGATTTTGGAACAAGTCACGTATCCCATTATACTTCCTGCGAATAATAATAATAAAAAAAAAAAAATCGGAAAAAAGACCCTTAAAAATGTGTTGTTCGCCCGTTGAGTTATTCATGACGACTTCATAGACGATGAGGATCAGAGTGGGAAAAAATGACCTACGCGCTATCCTTTCAGCCCAATATAAGAGCCTCAGATACAGCCACTGCTGTTGTCGCTAATGGCCCGCTGTCATAACGCTTTCAAAACTTCGACGACGTGTGACCGTTTTAACAGTGCAAACACGTAATGGTACCCGAAAGCAGATATCCCACCAACCCTCTTTTCTAGTAAAGTGGGTTTTTTGAAATTAATCTTTTAAGAAGATTACTGACTATCGTTTTGTTATTTTCGCCGGTCCCCTCTTTGGCGATGCTGTAGAAAATATGGTTTTAAATTACAATCTACACAAATGAGTATCATCCAACCACAGTAAATATTTTCAGCTCTCAGAATATTCAGAGTCAATATTTTATAATATTTCAAAAATGTTTTATGTCATACATGTGAAATTCTATGTAGTATATAATTTATACGTATTAAGTGAACAAAAGTCATAAAATAAACTTTTATCAATAAATCAATAAAGGGAGAATTTCCATTACCCTGTACATTAGATTCAATAGATCATTTAAAATAATATATTACGTTTTTATTCAATGACAAACCATTGCCCACGATGAAATTAGCAGAAGTGGTCTCTAGCTAATATTATTAGAATATTTTATTATGAATTTGGATCGCTATTAATTATATATTTATTATGTATTAATGATATGTTAGGTTGGAAACATATTTATCCAAAAATAAACTATAATCAAATTTTAAATGATACTTGAAATTAAGCATAAAAAAAATATTATCTAATAAATGAAAAACATTTTATTTTAAAAACAATACATTCATTGCAATTATAATTATCACTGTGCAGGTCATTGCGATTTATACCATATTAACTACTTAACTATTTAACGACATAGCACGATTCTGCCCAGCTGGGCATACGTAAACTGCGCCCGAAATGTTATCTATGTTAAAAAGGTATAATGTAAACTGTGCCCAACAACTTAAGCTGTGTCCCGTTTGTAAAATAAACAAAACGTTTGACTTATTAAAGTCTCTGTGATTGTGCACTTTTTCAATTATATCATAGAAATGTAATTTTCGTTTAGAAATACCAACACGTTATCAAATAACTGCAGTTGCATTCTAAAAAAAAAAATTTACAAAATATAGTTAATAAATATAATAGTGGTGAACCTTCAATTTATGAATATTTAACAACAATATTTATAATATTCGTAATTATTTTACTTTTTAAAATCATATATTTTTTTATAATTCTTAATTTAATTTAATTTTAATTTTAATTATTCATATTATATGGTGTAATAAAAAGTATAAATTGAAAATTATTTTGCAAAAATATATATATTGATTTTTAAAGTTTTATCCGGGCGCAATTTACATGTCACCATTTTACATTTGATAAAAACTCGGGCGCATATGTGATTTTGGGTTTATTTGTATTTTTGACACAGTTTACAATCACCGGGTCAGCTTAAAACGGTTATAAGAAGATAGATAATTAATAAACAGAACATTTGTATTTTAACTTACGATGTAGCTGTGACAAAGTTCATGACGAGAAATAGTCTTACAAAGGACGAAAAGCTATTCTAGCACTGTGACTACCTTCCGACCATGGTTAGGTGCTCTACCCGTATTTATATAGGTTCTATCTTTTATCAATGACGTATAGTAGCATAATGATCTAATGACCTATACTTAATTATATAAACCGATAAAACTGTCTTGTTTTATTTTTCATTTTTGACCCAGGATTCTTGTACTTTAAGTTGTGCACGTACATATTACACAATGTAATAAGATTGTTATTAATACTAACTTCATATTCAAAATCAAGTATATAACTTGTAAAATTTATCATATATATTACACTTCAATTTTTTTTTGTTTTTAGGATTACTACACTATACTCAAAATCTAGTAACACAGTAACACAGATCCTTAAAAATAGATTATTATATACTGTTAGAGTTTTTAACATATTTGTATTATTCCAATTTTGAATTAATTAATTAAATTCCTTGTGTAATTATCAGTGTATCGGCCGCAATATATTCTCATTAAGTTATAACTAATGAAACATTCGTAGAAACAAAAGATCTTATCTCAAACATGCTAAGGTTAGTAATTTCAAATAAAACCATTCGGCAAAACAAACTGCAATTATTGCCATTCCTTCATTTACACTACCAAAGATTTACATAGTAGGAATTTTCTCATATAGCTTACATATTTCCTTTACCTATTTTTATCTTTCCATAGTTCTCACTAGTATATTAATTATACTTCAGAGTGTATTAATAATATGTTAAGATAAATATGTAAACTTTATAAATAGTATTTTTTTTTAAACTTTCATCTGAAAAAATTATACTTTACACATGTGTATTGTATTATTAGATAATAGTATTGTCTAATAAAAATGTCGATGATAATAATTTAATGCCGTACTTGAATTTACCAGACTTAATTAAAAAATACAGTGCATTTATGTTCGAAATTTTAATAGATGATAGTATTCACTATAATAATATGTCTATATATTTAAATAGGTACTCTAAATATAACAATTACATACATTTCTATACATAACAATGTTAATATATTTAGATCTAAAATCATTAGTATTAGCAACCAGATATTTTTTTACTTCACTTGTTTTTTTTTTATAAACCATCAAAAAACTTTTTATTTATTTTATATGAAAAATTATATAGAATAATCGAATTTATTCAAATAGGGACGAAACACAGCTGAACATAACTAATACAATTTATTTATACGTTGTCTAATAAAATACTAAAAATCAAAGTTTAAAACTATTAATTAATATATTTTTCGTGTTAAGAGGCATTAAATAATTTAGATGATATAGTATATATTTTGTCCTTTCAAATAAAAATGATTTAAGTTACGACTAAAGGTTTCAGAAGCAAATTAAAAAACATGAACCAGGGCAGTTTACTGCAGAGCCTTGATAACCATTTGACACGCATTTAAACTTTGCCGAGAAACATCAGTCCACGAACGGACGCTACTAAAAATGTAATAATATTAGCAGATAGTCTGATAAAAGAAAACATTAACTGACACTGGTTCTTTAATGTGGCTCAAGACCATAGTCAAAATAATTGACATCGTAAAAATAAATGTTATCCTAAGCGAAATGTTTACAAGCAGTTTTTAGAAAGAAGTATCTTTACATTATCATCTATTGTCAATTTGGTCTTCCTTAATTATTTTTAGCAGTCAAAATTATTATAGCATTTACAGTTGTTAAAACCGACCATCAACGAGCTGGATAATATTTGTTATTTTTGTCAACTTTATTTTTAATAAGTAAAATATATTTTATAATTATACCTATATAATGTGTATTATTCTATGTCATAGCACTAAGTCCAAACGATTTTATAACTTAACAATATTATTTTTATTTTCGATTTCTACTATACATGAGTATCACATTATTTAAAATGTAAAATATTATTCGTAAAAAGTATACAAGTATATTCATTTTTTTTTTAAATATTTATATTATAGAGTTGACTGGTAACATGTTACATTTTCTATTAAATTTAATGTGGTATATGATGTATATATTAAATATTATGTTTGTAAATAATATCGATGATAAATAGTTAAAATAATACTTGATACATAAATACAAAAATAATCAATAATAATGGTAGGTTATAACACTTAATTAATTAAAATTATGATATTATTTTTTTTTTAATTGCTATAACTAAAAATTATAATACTATTTTTATATTTTCTCATGATAAATTATCGTATTTGTAGTTTATATTGTTATTTGTTGAACCAAAATAATCGATTTGAAAATTTGGAATCCTTGCCAAATCAGTATAGTTTTTATAGTTTTATCCAGTTTCCACTCGATTTCTCAAAGAAAATACTGATACACAGAGTTCTCTTCTTCATTTTCCTTACTAGATTTCCGTTATTTAAAGAATTTTTATGATCAGGTATCTCAAGAAAAGTAGCCCCAGTCATAAACTAACCAGACCTCGGTATGTTCCTTTAGAAAGCATCCGTGGGTAATAAGATATATCAATAACATTGTTTATAGTATTTATATTAAATTTACCTACACATTATTGTATTTTATTTTAATCCATCATTGATCGCCAAGTTTTATTTCCTTTGGCAAAATTTAATTCTTATAAATTAAATGTTGTCCTAAATATTTTTAAATGGCGTGAGTAATTTAAAAATTATAATCTTGGAATTGTATTTCATATAATTCTATTAAATCCGCCATAATGTTTATGGGTCCGGTAATTTCAACGCATAACTTAATATGTTATAGCCCACAATTTAAATTTAAATAAAAGATTAATCTTATAATATAATTGGTTTTAGTAAAGTGTATTATTATAATAAGCAATAATAATAATTATAATTTAATATTTAATTAATTTGTTGTATTTAACTTTAAAGGTGTATTTTAATAAAATTTAAATTAAATATTTAAATAAATATGATTTGCGATGACTTATCTTACGCTGAAATTACTGAATTGAAATTCCACAGCAACATGATTATTATTTTATTATACAATGGATATAAAACATTTTAAGCTAATTAAATTTACTCTTAAAGTAAAATTAAAGACTAAAAAAACTTTTCACAAAAATGAATAGGTCTTAATACATTTTGTGGTCTATTGAAACAGAATTAACAATTAGATAATGTAATTGTTTAATTTAAAATTACCATTGGAAATATTCAATAATAAATACATTGTACAAAAAATACATAAACTTGGTTATAATTCATATAT